CTCCGCGCAAGGGGGATCACGTTGTGTTGAAATGGTAAAATGGTAAAGCATCCTCGAGGCAGTTACACAGTGCTTGTAACTGTCTCTGGAAGTGAAAGCACCAGAAAATAAATTAAGTCATACGCAGCTGTCATCCGTACGCAAGGAAGTAAGCACAAGATGCCGAACACCCTTAGCAGGATGCAGCGCACCCTTCATGCGACTCGCCGAATATATCACAGCGCTTCGCGCTTGGTGATGTGAGAGCCTGGTCCGGTGAGAACCCGGCGTGCTCCGTCCCGGCATTGTAGGGATGCGAGGTCACTGGTCCAACGACTACGGCATGCACGACTATGAGTACCCCCCCACCCGCCCCTTTCCGGTTGCGGGCTCGGCCGTCTGCCTTCTCCCCCTGTAGCTCGCCGACGTGTATCAGAGGGCATGGAAAAACGTGGAGGTAGCAGGGTTGGAGATGCTGTTCCGGCAGCTGTCCGCGTCGGAGGGGCGCTTGCTGGCCGTCCTCGAGAAAGCCAAGCGGGAGGTGGGTCTGTTTACTCCCGGAAGGTGTGCCACTTGGTTGGTATCGCAGTTCCACGAGTACCATCATGTATCCAACAAGGTATTACGTAGTTTCGGCCCTGTCCAACACCAAGAACAGCTGGTTAAAGTGTTCAACACACTGCACAGAGTTCCTTTTTGTGTAGGTGTTCGCACTAAGCTTAGCTCTTCTACCTGTGTATTCCCAAGTCAACGTATTTGCCAGTTTGCTATTTTTGGGGTTCCCTCTTGATTACGCCCAAACGACATAGAGGTGTGAAGGTTGTCAACATTCAGCGAACTCCAAGGATAAGCAGGGTCAGCGTTGGAAGGAAAAACACACACACACATACACACACAAAATTCCAGTCAATGGTCTATCCGCTAGGGCGTGCGAAACACATGATCACACCCCACCCTCCGTCCCCCCTCAGCGAGCTGAGCTCAACGGGAGGTCCGTCATGAACGCCAGCGCGGGGGAGGCGCGGGCCGCCAGGCTCCTCTCCAACGTGCTGGACGCGCGGCGGCGGTTGGAAGAGGACGCGGAGGAGGCGTTGCTGAGGCCGGGGGACACGGTGTCGAGGGCCGCCGCCACCGCCGACGGCCTGTCCATCTCCGGGCTGCGGGAGAGGCTGGAGGAGGCGGTGGCTGTCGCAGAGGTGTGGGAATTCAGCTATACTGTGCGGTCAGGGTATGGTACGGGATAGTACCGTGCGGATATGGTGCAGGGTACTGTCTTTGACAGCTGGAGGAGGTCGTGGCCGGGGCGGGCTTCGGTGTGGTGGAATTTCGGATATTGTTCGGCCCTCTTGAAATATGGCCCCCATCTACCCGACCATCACCTATCGTCGAGGACACGATTCCCCGTTTTCATGGTGGCGTCGACGAAGAGACGTCTGTTTGGTCATCGTGAAAGGAAACCCGGGTCCAACCCCCGCCACCCACCTCTTGCTTTCTTTTTTTCGAAAAGAGAGCCAACGGGAAAAAGGTACTAGGAACAATGATTATCCCCTCTTCCGATCACCCTTGACTCCTTGGAGATGACAGTCAAGCGGAAAATGGTACGGGGAGACAGGCGATAAGGATTCCCTCTTTTCATGATTTCCTCTTCCCTTTTTCATCGTCGCTGTTTTTCCCTGCGCCGGTCGCGACCGTTTTGCTTTTGAGATTTTCAGGCATCTCAGGAGCACCTGTCTAGTCTAAGCGGGGCCGACGACAACGACGACGCCTTCGAGGTACTAGAAACCCCTGACGGCGGGGTAGGCGGAAGCGGTGTCGCTGCTCCACTCAGCACCGACGCACCCTTCGCCGACGGCACGGCCGATTCGGCCTTTGCTGCTGCTGCTGCGGCTACTGCTCCTGCTGCTGCTCCTGTTCCTGCTTCTCCTGCTGCTGCGACTGCTGTTGGTGTTTGTGCTGCTGCTGCCAATGCTGCTGCTGGTCATGATGGTGATGCGGCCGAATTTACTCCCTCCCTCTCCGCCACGGGGACGACTGCGTCGCCGTTCAACAACGATCAGGGCGGCGTCGGCAGTAACGGCGATGGCACCATCAACGGCAACGTCAGCTTGAACGGTTTCGGCACCATCGTCCTAGAGCGGCAGCCGCGGCCACAGCAGCAGCAGCAGCAGCAGCAGCGGAGTGCGGAGCCGGTTGCGGTCAAGTTTTCTCAGGGACCGACGTACGACGGCGTCGACTACCGACCGGGGGCATCCGCTCCGCGATACGGCCGCGTCCCCCCGGAGGAGACCTTCCCTCGAGCTGACGGAGAGGAAGAGCGGCGAGGGGGGCGGGAGGAGCAAGACAAACTGCCACAGTGGAGACAACAGCAGCAATCCGTCAGGCAGCAACAGCAGCAGCAGCAGCAGCAGCAGCAGCAGCAAGAGCTTCTGCATAACCTCCTGCACCAGCAGCAGCAGCGGAAGACCAACAACGGCGCGCCCCAGCCGGCACCACCGCCGCGGCAAGAGAATAACGACGCCAATGACCCGTTCGAAACCCTGCGCATGTTCGACTCTACTAGCTCTTCCCCCGCCGCCGCCACGCCAGCACCCGGAACCAGCGGTGCCACCATCAACAACAAGCCAACACCCTACAGCAACAACGGAAGGTCGTCGGTGCCACACCGGGCGAGAGCAGCGGTGGATGATGATGGCGGCGGCGGCGGCGGCGGCGGCAGGGGGCAGAGGAGCCGCGGCGGGTCTTGGGCGACGACTGCAGCTCCCAAGGAAAAGACGATAAGGTCGGCGCTTTGTCGGCTAAGGTGGCTAGAGGAGGGTCCAAGGTTCCCTCGGGGGGGTGCACGCAGGCTCTGAGGTTGATTCGGCGTGTATTGGTGGGTTTAAGAGGGTCCAGCTGAGGGGCAAGCGCGATCAGGGTGGGATCGGGCGGTGAGGTCGGCGGGACCGCACCACACTACAATATTTTTGTTCTGCGTGCGGATTTGTATTTTTTCGATTTGTCCTGTGCGGGCTTTTCGACCTGTGAGTTTTTTCCTTTTTTGTGCCTTCCGACCTCTGATCCGTGACCTTCGGCTTCGTTTCGATGTATTTGCCATGATCGGGGGGGGGTCCGCATGTGTCTACCCAAGAGCGCTCTTTCTTTGCCTTCTCAGACGTCCAGGGGTGGGGCCGCCTCAACCAAGGGACCCTTGGAAAAATGAACCTCAAGCAGTCGCCCCCCGTCACCCCATTTTCCTGTCACCCCCCCTCCCCCAGGAAAGTGATACCGGACAGGATAAATAGGGTAGGGACAACTTGTTTGAGCCACCTTTGGCAAAGTTGGTGTTTGGACCTTTGGGAACATTGCTCCATCATCTCTAGGACGCCCGGACAGTGGTCTGGCATGCAAGACGTGAGTACGCGCCTCCCCTGTTCCCCTGTCCCTTTGCACTACATTCAGGAAACCGCTGCCGAGGCCGCGATACGGCCGCGCCATCCCCGAAGGCTCGCCCCCAAAGACGCCCTCGAAGCTTTCGCCTGACTTCCCCTGCCAAGGGTCGCCCCCACCACCGAAGTTGCCCTCGCCGCAGCCGCCAACGTCCTCGGTTCCGCAGCACTTTGTCCCTTATCCCGGCAGCAGCAGCAGCAGCAGCAGCAATAGCAACAGCGGCAGCAGTCATGAGAGGGGTGATTCATTGGCAACCCCAGCGTGGGGAGCGGTAGAATCAGAACAGAGTATCGGCGGTGAGGGGGAGCGGTACGGCGTCGAGGGGCAGGCGGCTTCTGTTCGTCAAAGAACGGGGTGGACGTCGGGCTTACGGGAAGGGGCGCTCACCAGGAAGCTTGGAGCAGCAGTGGATAACTTCAGGGAGAGGGTGGGTGAAAACAGGGCACATTTTCGCGTCTCTGCAGATTTACATACCTTTGAGAGTACTAAGGGTACATTGACACATTGTCGTGTCTCTGCAAATTTACATAGCTTAAGACAACTAAAGGTACAACCAAACACTTTCGCGTCTCTGTGCAGATTTACATTCCTGCAGACATCATTACTCAATTGAATCTGCGGCAGAAAGAGCGACGGCGCCGAAAAAGGCGGCGTTTGAGCGGTCTCGTCGAAAGGTGGTAACCTCTATTCCATTTATCATCCTCTTCGTCGTAGAGTAGTTGAGAAATGAAAAATCGTCGCACGTTTCTTGTGCGACCCATGGTACGCAGGTAACGTGTCTTTTCTCGCCTTCGCACGTACTTGGCCAACAACTTTCAAAATGTCCCACTTACCCCTACTCGGCAAAACCACCTTTTAACAGGAAAAGGAGACGTTTTTTAAGAGCAAAGGAATCGAGGGGGACGTTGATTCCTTCGACTGGGACGAGTTGCGGCGAAACACGGACGAGATCGAGCAGCTCCAGAGGGAGGCCGTGGAGCAGTACTGGCGAGACAAGGGTGGGGACCAGAGAGGCCGCGGCGCGCGCTACCCTGGGCGGTGACAACAGCGGCAGCGGCAGCGGCGGTGATGATAGAGGCGGCGGCGGTGACGGTGATAGCGGCAGCGGCGGCGGCAGCGACAGCGGCGGCGGCAGCGGCAGCGGCAGAAGCACCGATAGCACCCGCGGCAGCGAACTCGCGTGGGTTGTTACCTTCAGACGCTTCAGGACATGCTCAAGTGTTCAGCGTTGGCGACACAACAACACGGAGGGCAGTTAGTGAGTGCAGGAGCTGGATGCAGGGATTGACCTATTACCGCGTGTTGCCCCCTGAATGAAGTCGAGGTTTCTTGTGTGATACACCCGGGATTCGGGACGGGCTGAAGAAGTACGTCCATCGAACCATTACCACCACCACCATGTAGGTCCTTGATAGCCGTCGTTTCCGTTCTGGCATTTTGCAGTTTGTGGGGTGAAGTGTGTCATGTGTCTCCACCTGATCGTGATATGTGTTCGGGGCCGATGCGAAGTATTACGCGGTAGACGGCAGGAATATGGGAGGTTTTCCCCAACAGAGGTCCCTGTTGTCAAAGAGCGGCAGGGTATCCCGGAAGCTACGCTGATTTTTATCGAGAGAATCACCCTCTCTTGTGCAGCTGATTTTTTCGGGGTTGTAGGGAGTTCACCTTTCACTTTACAGCTGACGATCCAGTGATAAACCTGCACACCCTGCTCGGTTAAAACAGGCGGGGTTGGGCAGCAGAAGCTTTGCGATGTTGTCCGCTACGCGCAGAGTACACAGGTTTTGTGGTGGCGCGCGTTGTGCGTCACGCGCGCAGCCAGAGCTGCTTCTTGAACAGGAAACGAATGAGAATGCAGCTTCATTTGCTGACGTCTTCGAGAAGAATTGGTCGCATTCGCTGGTGACATGTGATAGTGAACGGGTGGTTTTGGATGCGGCAAATCGTTTTGTTGGGCTTGTTTTGTGTGTTGCGACGGTACGGCACTTAAATCATTGAGCGTTTTGCGTATATTGCAGCAATTGAAGTTTACTGGACCTGTACAGTATTTATGTTCCGGTGGACGCGTTGCACTTGCCCCCCGTTGTGATGTGGATAGTTTGTTGTCCTCGAAGGAATTTGGGGGTTGGAACCCACGGCAGCAATTTTCATTTCCGGTGTTTTTGCACGGTCTGTTCTGGGCGCGGGTTTCCGCCTTTCGGTATATGTTCGACGCACCCAGCCTGCGCTACAAAGTTGATGGAGAATTCCCTTGCCCTTCTTGTGGTGATTGCCATTAGTTGTTGACGCGGAAAGGGGCGGTTATTGCAAGTATTTTCCTCCGCTCAAAAAAAAATACAGCTCAGAATGGCTTGTTGGTGCGTATGATGAGTTCATCGCGGTGGTGCTTTCCTGTTCTTCGTGGAGACACCGAAAGAGGCGGGGAGATGGCACCCCCCATAGACCGGCTCTCAAAGATCGATTTTTGCACAACCAAGTGACTGCGGAGAGAGCCCGATACGTTAACGAGGAGATGCGTCCAAAGCCACCGTTGTTGGGGTTGGAACAAGCTTGGTTGTGAAGCATTTGTACAAGTCGGTCTAGGGGACATCTCTCCGCTTCTTGCGTTTTTTTCGTGTGGAATCTACGAAAAATATCTATCCACGAGAGGGTTTCAGCTGACGTGTAGCGAGGCAAGCCAAGCAATTCTAGGGTTTGGAACTCTTAAATGCTTCTGTTGTTTAATGCGTTTGGCCAATACCCGACGACGAAAGGCGGTTCGTGCTTTGAAAGGGTTGGAGAGTTTGGGGTTTTGGAGCTTTTTCGTGTGTGCTACGGGGGAGGGTGCGTTGGGGATAGGCGGTGGGGATCGGGAGAGGGATGGGTGGCAGTCAACCTGTGAGCATTCTGCTGTTTTCATGGATGGGTGAGTTGTCTTGGTCGTCAAAATGTAAATTTCGTCGAGTACTGCTTGACAAGAAAATGAAAAGATATGAATCATACTGAGCAAAACCCGCCTTCCTTTGCCACAGACGAAAATGCTTACACACATGACTCTCCTACACATTACAGAATCTACGGGCGTTCAGGAAAAAATTCTCTCGGGCGCTGAGAGCACTCCATTTCGGCTCTATCGGCCTCTCAAAGAGCCGCAATAACATCTCTCCGTTTTTTGTCGGAGCGTTTCGTTTCATTCCACTTGCCCGCTTCTTCGTTTTGCTCTGCGTCTGGCTCACTCGTAGCTGGTTCGCTCGCTCGCCGGCGGAACCTTTCGCCCCTCTTTTCTATTCTCCATTCATCCACACACGCATCATTTTTTTGCCAGTCTCTTTCGTTTCTCTCATCCCAGCCTCTATCTCCGCTCTCACATGCTGGGCTCTGACATGTCAAACATCATTTCCGCTTCTTTGCACTTTCAATATTCCCGTTTTTCCGCTTGTTTTCAATGTCTTCTGGCTCGCTCGGTTGCGGAACCGTTCGCCCCTCTCCTCCATCCATCCATCCACACATCACATTTCCTCCTCAGTCTGTCTCCCTGCTCTCACGCCCCAGCCTACCCCAGTCTGACTGTCGGCTTTCACGTGTCGAGCACCTTTTTCATCTTTTCCGCCGGGTCATTGTACATTCCCACGATAGGTACAAGCTGGACCAGCCAAGTTGCATGAAAAATGGTTGATAACGATTTACACCACGATTTCCAAGACCTAGAACCTGAAATTTTGACATGTGGTCGGTATTAGTACAACCAAGACCTTGACTGGAAGCATCCGTTTTTTTTGTTTTACGAGGTAGCCCTATTATGGGGCAAATGGTGATCCTTTTTTTGTGTATAGGGGAGCAAAAAAAAAGGCGCTTCCAGTCAAGGTCTTGGTTGTACTATTACCGACCACATGTCAAAACTTCAGATTCCAACTCGTAAAAGTCGTGATGTATTTGCGATACCTCACATACATTTCCTTGGCTATCTTGTGTGTTGTATCGGATTCTGTACGAGGCCATATCTCTTGGTAGAAGGTGATTTGAGCCTTGGAACAATCATCAATTTTCTCGCACTGCTCCCAGGTAAGTGCACACCAAGTTTCAGCTTATTGGGTGCAACTTTTTTTTTGCTGATTTCAGTTTCGGAAGTATCCCCCCCTACGCCACCAACTGATGGTTTGTAACTCAGATTCGAACAATTCTGGCACCTGCGCTTCCCATACTGTCTCATGAGAGCAGCCGAAAAAGTTCAAGCCCAAATTCGTGGAAACGACAGAATCAGACTCGAACGAACGAAAGTGAGCTTTTCGCCTGGCCCAGCTTGTAGAGCTTGGTTCTCTATCCACCTAGATTCACTTTTTGTGTCCCTGTCATTTTTAACGAATTCGCACAGCCCACCCCTTGCCCGACAGGGTCAAATGCTTATTATTCAAGATTTCCGGGCAAATATTTCAACTCCACAATGAACGCCAAGTGCCGCGCTGACACCGCCTCCTGCTGCTAGTCACGGACCTTTTCCTCAGTGGTTACACGATGAACGACGAGTAGACGCCGGGCGCACTTCTGGCGGTACATTGTGTCCGGCGGACATACAGATCGTCACGTGCACACCGCGGGGCGACGCGAAGGGAGAGTGGCGAGGATCAGTCAGCCCGCGCCCCAGAAACAAGCTACCCCCACCGCCGCACTTCTGAAACTCTGAGAGAGGCCTGGGGGAAGCGCCACTGTCCAATCAGGGGGGATGCGAATCAAACGCATAGAATATATACACTTGGTGCGCGGGTCGTCCACAAACATTGAAACAAGCGGCGGCGACCGATTACGCGGCGAAACCGGTTACGGTTTGGCTAAATCAGCACATGCCTACTTGCATGACTCCGGGGACAACCTTTGGGCAACCCCACCCAGCCGAAGCGACCCCCGCACGCGGGCTGCACAATTGCACAGGCCGATGCATCACTTCCCTAGTGCAATTGTGGTGTCACCAGCGACCTCGTTGGTCGTGAATGTCTTTCCTCGTGGGGCGTCGCTCAGCCTCGGCTGGACAAGGGACATTTTCCGTCGACATGCAGCGATGACGAGGCTTTCATGCTCTGTTGACGCCGTCGGGAACCTTCCTCATCCCCGAACAGCCTTGCTGATCAGGGACACAAGCGATGCCGCAAGCGCCTCTAGAGAGGAGATAGTCGCTGGCATGCTCGAAACGCAGGGCTTCGAGGTTACCGCGCTGCCGGGAGTGGAAGAAGCGGCCCAACTCCTCGCGGGCCTGTCTGGCGAGGCATTGCAGCTGACAGTGCTGTTTGATCTTTCGGGGTGGCGGGCTGATCGCTGCGCATGTGAAGGGGCCGGGTTGGCGGGGATGTACTCGTTTAAGCAAGCAACCGGCATGTTTAAGAAGGTGATAGTACGCGGGGGGCACTTTTCTCTCTGTGCTGTTGGCAGAGGTGAGAACGGGCGAACATGTAATCATGCAACGACGCATTCCGTCCGTTGTCGACGGTACTACCTGCTGTAATTGTGCGACTGCGGGTTTAGCAAACACATCGTGGGTTACGCTCGCATGTAAGCGTGAAAGTTTGTTAGATTTGCAGTGTGTGCATGCGCACGTGCGGGAAAACTTAGCCCAATAATGCATAGGAAGCTTCACCATCCGGGCCACGGAAGTACTCCCTCACGACAAGGAAGTTCTCCCCTATCTACTGAAGTGAATCGACTTTGCCTGTGTTGCAGAGACTCCTCTCGGTAGCAGGTGGATACGAGCGACCATCTAAAGTACAACGGCAGCGTTATAACCGCCCTATTTCACTTCTCATAATGCAGTAGGTTCACGAAAGTGCTCCCTTACGACAAGAAACTGCTCTCCTCTCTACTGAAGGGAATCGACTTTGCCTGTGTTACAGAGACTCCTCCCGGTAGTAGGTGCGTAAGGCCGACCATCTGTAGTGTACACCGGCAGCGTCATAACCGCCCTATTTCACTCCTCATACTGCGGTAGGATTAGCTTTCCTCAACGCAACCATTGCTCTGGGGTGCTTCACCCTTGCTGCCTGGCTTGCCAGGTTTTCGGAGCAGACGAAGCGCCAGGCTGGATAGATCCGCTCGCTGGATCGTCCTACGAACAGGTACAGTATCCCAAAAACCAAGCTTGAACTTCGTTTGAAGGACACACCAAGCACTAGTGGAGGATGACTGCGTGTTGTCTAGAGTTATATTTTTGCTTATTCTACTAAAATTGGGACGACTTTCTCCGAACCTGTTGTGCTTTCGTTCGTCTGTATTGTACGATACCTTTAGCTACCGCAAGGTTAGCGTGTCATCACGGAAATCCGTTTCTTGGCCTTGAAGGAGCTATGTGCAGACAAGGTACCGGATAGAGATCGAGACCGACTGAAGGCAACAACAACCACTAAAGTGAAACGAATGTCGACTTCACGGTTGCCCAGGGAAAGGGACGGCTGCATACTCCTCGCGATCAAACACTTGTGCCACCCCCCGCAAAGAGCATCTTGAGCGTGACAGTAATCTTGCGTCACCGCGGCTGGTAGGTCCGAACGTACGGAACGTTGTAGAACCAACGTCCAGAAGATAACAGTTGACGACCTAAAAGTATGCCACACACTACGCAACCATGTATCAATTTACACTTTTGCATGGCGCTGCCTGCCGCTCCAAACTGATCGGACCAGCGTGTCGCCGTTCTTTGCTCGTGCTCGGCTACTGCTACAGCACGAGTGTGGATTGACGATGGGAATGAGTTTGAGCTGACTTGGTCCTACCTCTAGCAGCAGCAGCACCAGCGGCTGTTTGTGGCAGGAGGGCAGAAAAACTCAGGATGGATTCGACACATGCACCTGATTCTTCGAAGGGTCGTGTCCACGGAGTTATTCGCCTGGGAGATAGTCCGAACCCGCTGGTGAGGGTGACAGACTCGTCGCTCCTGCTGATTAAGGCCGTACGCTTGTCCCCTGTCGAACTGCCTCCCGCATAACATCGCAGATCTTGGATAGAAAAGGCTGGGGATTCTTAGCAGAGGACAAATCGGAGCCGAGATTTGCGTTCGGCCTGATAGAGACGCCCCCTTGGGAGCGCGCGAGAGGCAAGTGCTCCAAAAATGTGCCGAGCGGAGGACGATTTTTATTCTCAATGAACTTCCAACTTCGAGTTAAAGCCTTAACATTTCCCGATGGAACGCTTTGGCAACGACGTAGGTGGCGATATCTGTGACGACGCTCTCTCTTAATGTAGGTGCGTAGTCTAGCGCGATGTCGTAAGCGACGAAGTGAAGGAGAACTTGCGGGGCCTAGATGCGTCCGTTCAGGATGTATTCTAGAAGGAGAATGGGCCCGAAAACCAATACATTCTGCGCTGAGGCGCCACATTTTGGCCGCCGATGTTGTCTTCAATGATCACCGCACCCTTTGTTCTGTACATGATAGCAGTGATTGGTGCAAGTTTTGGGCTCTGAGCTTGACCTCCTGAACCTATCAATCATATCTTCGTAACTGTAGGCTAGCAAACATGTAACTTGAGTGACTTGATACCGTTCTCCGGTCAAAAATTCCGTTTTCAGAGGAGCGAGCACGAGAAGAAGGGGATGGGGCGCCTGTGTCCCCGCTGGGATACTCCCTCCTGCGCATGACAGACGAGGAGGTGGAGGTGGCTGCCGCGGCGCTCAAACCGCAACAGGCACGAACAACGCATATTGCAAGTTTTAATCGCGTCGTCTGCGAAGAGAAGATAGCCGAAAATCCAGACTAGCGCAGTTCTACAAGTCTGAAACAATGTTTAGCCGTCTGAGAGATGTGACAGCCGCCGCACGAATAGATGACAGAGCCCAGTGACGACATTTTTGTTCCTGGTGTTTGGCCGCTTCGAGGCGCGCGCATATTGCGTAGCAACCTGGTTGTCCCGTCCACCTACTCACCTGGAGGTGCTGCAGAGGCGTTCAACGGGCAACAACAAGACACAATGCGCACACGTGTGCACGCCGATGACAGAGCAAAGTGGCGACGTTATGCTGCCGGCGTGTGGTCGCTTCGAGAGACAGACGCGCGCAAAGTTGTTGCGTGCAGCCTCTTTGTTCTATTCACTTTGGGGGCTGTTCAGTTTGTGGTTGTCGTCAGGAAACAACGTGGTGCCGGACCGCCTTCGTACTAACGTTATGACGAAATCAACAGCGAGGGGGGACACAGACCGTATTCCCCAACCCTAGCCCCAACCTGACTTCCCCGATTGTATGGTTCATCCAATATGTTTACATGCTACGAAAAACCCTGCGAAGGCTACTGCGGGTGCCGCACCCCCCCCCCCCCCCCCCCCCCCCCCCCCCCCCCCCCCCCCCCCCCCCCCCCCCCCCCCCCCCCCCCCCCC